TTTTTTTAATGTTTATCAGCATTTATAGAATTATTTCATATTACTGCTGAGGCTGACCATCTCATTGAGAGGACAATATGTTTGTGATCCTCTTTTTTCTTCTGTGTTTACATAGTACCTAAAGTAATGGAACCTCTGTTCTTATCTTTCCTTTCTCCATACCACTACAGTGTAATGTATGGTTATTAATACTGATATCAAAATACAAGTAGCACAAAATATAGAGGACAGAAATGGTCAATATGAATATAGATCAGAAAAGTGGAAAGAAAGAAAAAGGATAGCTAAAAGAAACAAACATACACAAAATCTTTACTGATTATGCCATCGAAAAATGACAACATATCAATCACAAAATTATCAATATTATGCAAAACGTAATGAGAAACAAAGGAAGATTAATGAAAAGTAACCAAGAACTAACCTATTTTGTTCCTAAAATGTGTTATTGAAAATAGAAAGTCTACTCAGGGTTACCACTGGAATTAGATAAATTTTTAAGACACAATAAAACTCAGAATCCTAACCTCAAATCAATCTTGAAATTAATCTTTGAAAAGCATATTCGTCAATCTATTTTTCTTTATTCTGCCCAGTTTCTGGATAAGACTAAAATATGCTGATGAAAGCTGTACTTGTGCATTTCCAGCTCAGCTGGAAATAGGACACCATGGGCAAAGTATGCTATTGTGAAATTTTCAGTTCAATGTCATGAAGTTCAGGTAAGAAGAATAATTACCTAAACTACAGTGTTTACTTACACTATACTGAACAACCTGTCAATGTCAGTCACCATTACTTAAATTTAGTAAGGATATACTAACATAATTATCAGAAGCCAAAGACATTTGAGTTCTATTTAGTAACCTTGAATTATTTTATTGCTCATTATAGATGAATAATGAGCAATAGTTGAATGTATCAATTATGACAGCATAATGCCTTATGGCACTGGCTGCAATGAAGGGTCTATTGCATTAAGTACATATATATAGTAAGAGACTATTGCTATGCCAGTGAGCTTACAAACCACACAAACGAGACATAGAAAAGATGCCTTAGTCCCCCTTTAGCGGATAGGCACAAACAGATTGCAACCTACCTCTCCCAATAAAGCAAAAAGACCCACCTTTCTTTTTAATTCAACTGCTAGTAAAGAAAACACAGTATAGATCGAAAGAGCTGTGAATAAGGACGAGCAGAAGCCTAAAAACGATGTCTAAACTTCAGCAAATTTTGTCAAGTACTTTGATTGAGGTTGAGAATATGGGCCCAAATGGGTATACAGGAAGCAATCATTTTTTCATGAAGAATACGTGCTTTACTGTGCACACAAATTCTTCCTTCAGAAGGCTGTAAATAACAGTATTTATGGAATCTTAATGATCTAAACACAGTTGGAGCCTGAAGGTCAAGGCTGCAAACTGCATCCTAAATTTCTGTTTACAGATGAAGTATAGTATTTATTGCTGCATTGCCTGTGCTGCTATAGTTAAAGGGCTGCCAGCATTTCCATTATAAACCACTATTTCAGGGCTTTATAACTCGCCCATCAATTTTCCCACTGGGCTGAAACATGGCATACAAGGTCCCAGCTGTGAGACTGATTTTTTGTTTGTTTGTTTTCTTTACCAAATTACAAAAAGAAATGTCTTTTCTAAGTTTAAAGTTATCCAAGTAGAAAAGTATGTCAGGTTTTTCAAATACTTCTAGTTTTCCTGTGATACTATCAATTATAGCTTTTGAACACAAAAAGCATTTCTATAATTGCAACAGTTAAGACTTCACAGGACTTCCAATTCCTAAAATGTGAAAATAACCCAAATAAAGATGTATTGTTAGGTCAATTTTTCCAAACAAAAAAACTGTAATGAAGACTGTCAATGGCAGGAAAAGAAATCAGAAATCTATCAACTGCCCTTGCTTCTATTTACATTAAAAGTATATCTACATTACAATTATAAACCTTGGCACAGTAAAGCTGGAGGATTACTAATACAATTTAAAGCTAACTTGCACAACTTTACTCTGCATTGCAATCACTGCCATAACTGCTGTTCAGACTTCTCTTTGCGATGCTCTAGCCATGTCAGACGGCTTTTAAAGAGTGAAGGCTGCATATTTACGCTATTGTTAGCTCAGTGAGAAACCTACCTCAGTTATATGGATATCTCTTGTCCCAGAACAGAGTAGTTTCTACCCTGGAAAGTGACACAGTAAAACAACTTCCATTCTGTTACAGCTCCTTGACTTAAGATAACATATTCTGAGCTTCCAAATGAATAACTATTATTTCCTCCTGCATTACAGTTTTTCAAAGATCTGAAGGTCAGCTTAGGTCTCTCAGCAGTATCTACAAACAAGAGGTTTCTTTAGCATGTGATAGCATAATCTATCCAGTAGGTATGGCAATGTCAGCAAAGACACGGCAACATGAGTTTTAGCACTCTTGCAAGAGGACGGCATAACCATAATTCTTGGAGGGTTTCTCCTCTGAGTGTTAGCAAAGCAATTCTGAAGGTTAAGATAGAACAGGTACACTATTATCACATATCTCCCTTTATAGATATGCCTGTATCCTGACTACCAGGCTACGCCTGTACTGCAGCATATAGTATAATAAAAAGCTGTCAAAATATGCTTTTTTAAAGTGCTAGCTTCATAAATACAGAGGCCACATGGCCTTATCTGGGCGTGGGGGGAAGGAGGCATCTGCAGAGCATCTACAACAAACTGGCTGAGGTACCTTCAACATTAGAAGACAGACAACATGTACACCTTAGTGTGAGCTGTATCACACACACAGGACTAAAACCCATTTGCACAGTACGCTAAACAAGTAGACAAAAGCTATAGGAAAAAACAGATTCATTTTAAATAAGTATCTAAAAGATGATACAGAAGATGCACTTTACTTTTGTTATATACTGCAACGGATGTTAGGTAGAATACTTCCAAGTAAAGCCAAATTCAATGTGTTGCCACAAACTGTGAAGTATCTTCATGGTCCACTGTTAAACCTTACATCAAATTAATGAAATCAAGAGGGGGAAAAAAATTACAAAACTTTCACCTCCATACTATCTACTTTGCCAGTGTGAATAACGCACTCTGTGCTGAAGTGCTGCTGAGAGCAGAAAGGTGAAAAACTTAATTTATATTTTACCTACATATCTAGCAATTACATCTTGATGAGTAACAATCATGACAATTAATGCAAGAATTTAAATAATAGAGGTCCTTTGTATCTTTGCATTGGAATCCCAACTTTTGGTAACATTTGTTTTTGCAAATAAAGAACAGGTGCATATACTGGGCCAATTTCAGCAATGTATTGTTGTGATGCAACACTGTCACATTATATTCACCAGTTTCATGGTTCCTTTGCAACATCACACCAGTTCAAAGAAGCAAGTCAGGCATTGCTAAACCTGGAATTTTAGACTTCATTTAATCCCATTTTGCTGTATTTCTTTGTACTAAAATTCAGTCATGGAAGGAATGAGGTAAATTAGTCCCTCCCAAAACTTTATTACATTTTCTTTATTATAGCCCTAGGGGTTTATTCACTGACACTGTTCTGTTCACCACAAGTACCTTCTTTTGTCTTCTGTTTTTGTTAAAAGATGACTGCATCTGTTTCATTTATAGTGCTTGAAAGAATCTCTTCCTCCCAAGGACAGTGCTTTCTATTTTTCTTCAAAAATCTACCTCTTCTATCTATTTTGGACCCAATTGAAACAATAGCTCGTAGCAATTTAGTTAAGATGTTTGACAATGTTTTCCCATCAACTGCCAAAAAGCATTGTTTTATGTCTTTAGTTAGCTCTGTAGATACATCTATACTGCCTATTAACACAGATCCCTCGTTCACTCCAGGATCCTGATCCCCTGACTGTCTACTGTATATGTATGTTAGTTCACTTCCAAGCTCTTATTTTGAGTTACCCCACCAGTTCCCGCTAAAGTAAAGCCTGGGTATGGCTTTAGGGACAGTTCTACGTGGGGACCCCGCCTAATGGGCAGTGTGGATCACACACTGGCTTCATTCAGCTGCCAAGTCCTTCAAAACTATCCCAATAGGCCTGGTAACCTCAAACAATTTGCATGCCCTGGTTCTATGGCCCAGGGCATGCAATACATACCCTTGGGGTCAAGCTATGAAACACTAAATTGATGGGCTGTAGTACAGCGCTCCAGACGCTCTTTACTCAAGCACATACATACACTCTGTTACTGATGCTGCATAGTTGCAGGGCCAGGCACTGTGCAGTGCAGAATTGGCCAATTCTTTCTTTTAAAACTTTTGCTAAACTACTGATGACCAGAAGTTTTTCTGCAGAGGAATCTACAGTGAGAGATACAAACCTGCAGATTTCTTTCTGAGAAAGTAAAAGGTGAAATGATCGTGGCATTTTAAAATCAATTTGGACAGAGAGCTGCTGAATATACATTGGAGAATAACTGTAAGTTGATATAGGATGTTATGAATGGTGACTGACTAAGGCCCTACCATTCACTCCATTGTACCACCTTTAATTGACTAAAAAGCTCCTAAAAACATTGTTATATAATTAAATGTGTTAAATAATGCCGCACAGGATCTTGTGAAACTTCGAGTCTTCAACGATACGCACAAAGTTTTAAACAAAATATAGCTGGAGCTTGTCAAGTACTATTAGACTTCAAAATATTTTCTGCTTTTGAAAGCTCACTGTGCCACAAGTATCTGTCATGCTGCATGAGTTGCCATCACACAGTACATCTTGTAAGCAGTGATGTCACGACAGAAATGCTACATTGTGGCATTCTAATTATCTCTTGTATTGTAATGAATTTGTATTTTCTGCTGAAAGGATGAAATAGGAAAAAAATTAGCTTTAATCTTGGATTCTCACTGAAGTATTTTTAAAAGAGCATGACAGTTTTGAAAACTAAGCAGTGTGAGACTACCATTTCAGCTTAAGCAGGTGAACGAGGAACATGTTGGAACACTATACCTGTAAAGTCCTGGAGGAGCTTGCCGAATCACAAAGTTTTTCTCTAAGCTTTGCAGCACATCATTGAGCATCCTGACTCTGATAGGAGCTCTCTCCTTGGGGTCATTAGCTGGGCGCATCTCATCTGATTGGAACAATTCTGCGGTGTCCCTCAGACGTGCTGCCACTGCAAGCAACTGATGAGTGTCTACTTGACTGCCTAGGAAAAAAAAGAGAAAGACAGTTACCACCAAGTGAATCAGAGAATATCACTTATTACTCTTGCTTACAAAATAGAATAAAATAAAATTAACAGTGCAATTAAAATCTGGGCCTTTTTTTTTTTTTTCTCTTGAAATAATCATGTAACAGATCAAGGAAGGCCACAGATCATTGTGCATACATTCTGATATATTTTTTTTTTAACAGAGGATCAATTTTTGCTGTGATATTTTAGGATCTCATAAGCTATATGGAATTATTTTGGGGCACCCACTTGAAATCTATCACTGGAAAATCAGTTATGCGGGAAGCAATGGTTAAATAGCAGTAACTACAGAGTTTCCTTCTGAGATGGTACTTATTCAGTGTTTTCTGATTCTATTGCTCCCAAGTTTGAAAGCAGGAGAGGGGCTTGTGTTCAGGTTCCATAACGACTGGTGTACAGAAAATTTCAATAGGCAGTTTAATTGAATTTTGTCCATCATTTTAGGATCCTAGGGGTTAACAGCCTTTGTAGAGGATCTGAAATTGCTCCTTTTAATTTAACAGATAAACGTTTACATTACACATCCACGAGCCAAAGAAAACTTCAATTTATGTCCCAACATGTATTCTAAGTCAGTCATTATTTTCAAAACTTCCAAGACTCAGTGTTAACCGTTATTATGTTCATAATCCCACACAGACATCAAAATAATAAAAGCTTACAGCACTTTGAAGCACACTGCTATTTAGACATTTCCTGGTTCACGGTCCAGAGAGAAATGGGCAATGAATAAATTGGAGTTTACTCAGTGTGCAGTATATACCTACCTACAGCGCAGGTGAAGACCATGCTCTCCTCTCCCATGCATAGACTCCCATCAAATTTATATGAACCCATCGAAAAAGAAAATGGAGTCTGAACCTGATGCAAAGTCAAAAAAAAAAAAAAAAAGGAAAAATATTTCCAGAATGGAAATGACCATTTTCAAGTGGTCTTTACGGCCAGGATTCGCTTTGCCTGTTAAGGTAAATTCAAATATCCTTAAAGCATTAAAATGATGATTTAATTAAGATAAATCATCCAGCTTTAAAAGTTGTTTGGTATCTTACTGACTGGGATGATCAATCTCAACAGGCAGTTTAAGACACAAGCTAATTAGGTTTTCAAGTTCCTTTTCCAATGGATAAATGGAGAGATCAGAAAAGGTAAACTTATTTCTCTAACTATACATGGATGGAGGCTAACAGGGTGCATAACAAAAATGCAAAAACTAAGAAGTTCAAGGAGGCCCCTGAACTTGACATATTGTCACTCTTGTATGGAAAGAGAGATTTGCTATTGGAAACAGTTCAGTAAAGGGAAAGGCGTTCACAGATCTCCTATGCACTCCTGTCATTCAGCTGACTAACACATTTCAATCTAGCACAATACAAAATGATCTGAAATACATTATCAGGGAGAGACAGATGTTGGCATGAGAGAAATTGTCAGATTTATTGAACTACGAAGATGAATTTCAACAATGAACAGAAATTCCCTGTGGGAACAGGGGTGAGAGATGTTTTATATCAATCTTAGTTTGGGACATGGTTGCTTTATAAACAACTCTTGACCACTCCACCTTTCCCTAATTAGAATGGATAATAAGCAACATTATATCTTCATGTTCAGGCTTGGTATTATTCCAATTCAGTTTGAAGTAGTTTAAAAGTCTGATTAAGTTTGGCTGATGCCTCAGGAAAAAAAAAAAATATTCAAGAATATAAGCTCGATACATTTGGAAATTTATTTTTACAAAATAGCAATATTCTCAACTTGAAATCTGAGCTTTTGTAGATTTCTGGTCCAAAAATCCCTCAGAAACCTAAAGTCAGGGCTTATTTTTTAGTTTAACACAGTTAAATTTCACATATCACATCCTGCTTATTTCTTTAATCAACCTAAAGGATCAAATGGCAGTTTAATTGTTCCATTAAACGGTGAGTCTTATTGCAAGTGCAATAATTTTACTGGTAAACTTACAGACTAACTGGAGTCTGATTTTTATGATGTAATTTTCTTTCATCAGATCTTTTTCCTTACTTAGAACTCCTCTCTTTCTGCTAATGAGCTTCAGAATCCAACTACAACTTACTGGTGCAAATGAAAAGAAAAAGAAAACTCATGCTTTGGTCTAGATTTATTCAACATTTTTTTGTTATTTTTTGAAAAACTAGATGTATTTTTTTAATGTTTTCTTGAAGCATTTTCACAAATTTACTGTGTCATTCTAGTTATACATTTTAGTTAAGAGATTTTTATTTTAATTCTAAGGCTGCAGCGTCTTGTATGATACTGCCTTTTAAACACATAGATCTGTCTGGGATGTCTACATACAAACTTCCTTTTTAATGTTGATAAATGTATGCTTGAATCAACCCAACAACATGACTAAGGCCCAGCTGGATTGGAATTATTTCCAACAACCCCCCCCAGCAGATCTGTTATCAGATAGGAGTAAGAAACGAAAGACAGAACAAATTCAGGGTTGCTACTTTTTCCTTAGAGAACTGTAAAAAATCATTTCTTCTTCTGAGAGAAACATGTACTTAAGACTAGATAAGTAGTAGTTTGACCTGTCTAGTCGCTAGACCCATGCTAGGGGAATATCTGGCAAAAATTCTTCATGGGGATTCCCTAGCAAAAATTCTCTACAATTAAATCAGAAAGGAATTAAGAATATTTATTAAATACAAGTCTTCCTTGGCATTTTACATTCTAATACTTTATTGGTTTTTCCATGTTTTTTTTTTTTATTTTGGCTAATAAAAGCATTCTGATAATGAGTCTTGGCCATGAAACTATGAAACAGAGGTGTCTGTACAAAAAAACCTTAACTCACTCTTCACTATTCAATGTGACATATAGTGACCTTCAAGACAGTAAATTTTACCTAGAATAGGTTTTGTCCATAAAAGCTAATAAAACAACCCCTTATCTGCATCAAGTATATGACAATCACACATCATGATGAAAACGCTGAAAAGATCCAGTGCAAATATCTTGTGCAGCTGATTATCTTCTTACAATTTCCCTGCATATATCAGGTACTGTGCGTACCTTATCTTGGGACTTGTGTTAGTAGGGAAAAGTTAAAATTCTCCCTTTTTGAAAGACTGTTTTAGTTTCAACAGAGCACTTCATATACCAAGGATCATACAATATTTATAATTTTTATTCTGACTATTATAAAAGCAGTTGTAAATGTGAACTATGCCTTTTCAATAGGGAAGGTGAGATAAAGGGAAAAGACACCGTTCTCCATTTGGAAATGAAGCCATTCAGACCACCCTTTTAAACATAAAAAGCCAGTAAATGCTCCCACTGCTCCTCCATAGGATGCCTTTTGCCCCTAACCCCTAAATTTTATGTTAGAGTCATGAGGAAAAAAAACCTGCTTACATCACTCTCTAAAACAGCACTCATTACGAACACAAAAACACAGACCCTTTTCTTAATACTTCACTACAAAACCTGGAAGTGTTTAAGACTACTGTTACCACATAGGACTAAGGACATAGCTTTAAGGGCGTCAGTAGTTTTTATTACCACACACTGAACTTCACTGCCAAGTGTAATTTATACCTGGCACAAATTAAGAAGCTGGGAGTGGAAGGGCAACTGGTTTTCAAAGAAAAGGATGCATTAACTAATAATGTCTTAAACATCTTGTGACACCTCTTTGAAGAGCAGAAAAAATTGCAAGTGTTACTTCACTCAAGAGAAAACAACCCTTTATTAACAACGCTTTATTATATTTTGTATTCTTTGTCCTTTTTCCAGTATGAATCATGATGAATCATCTGAGCTAGCTGTTTAGCTGTTAAATAAATAAAATTGCAAGTACAAGGAAGTGACTCAAGAGTCTGTATGCTGTTGATCACTGAATTATACTGTTGATTTTCATTACATTTGGTAAATGTAAAACAGCTTTAATTCAAAAATAGGTTATAACAAATGGATACATATTTTTACAGATGGATTGAATACAATAGCCTTTCCCTGTGTAACCAATTGGTCTTATGAAAGGTAATACTAGAGATTTAACATTTTTAAATCATGTTTGTGCCTTCTGGTATCAATGTACTTGCCCAGGTGTACTTACAGATCAACGACCGGGGACTGACAAATCAGCAGTTTAAGGTATGGCATTCACTTTCCATAAATGTATGCAAGCATGCCTTTGTGTGAGAGAGACAGGAGAAATTGCTTCAGGTTTGGATTACCTTGGGCATTCAGGATTGGCTAGGGTGTATTGTCATATTCACTAGGAGGATTTTTCATGCTGTGCAAAACCAGGATGATCAGTCCTGGCAGTGGAAAATCTGAATGTGAAAGCTTTGTAGAAATAACCCTAAAGCAGGCAGAAACACAAATCCACAGATCTCCTCACTACAAAGAAGATGTTGCCATCGGCTTGAATTTTGCTACCCTAATTACTATTGGCCAAAGCAAACCAATTTGTTGTTGCTATAACAAGCCCCTTTTCAAAGACGCTGTCATGCTACTAAAAAGGCATGTTGTGCCATATTATAATGGATGTCAATACAGGAGGAGTTATCAGTGCTACTGTACAGAGCTGCTGACCCACATATAGGCTACTGATACAGAACAGCCTATACTTTCCCTTCAGTACTAAATGCTTTGTCCATGGAAAACGTGTTTTTCCATGTTGCTTCAAGGCAGTACTAATACATAATATCCTTGAAAGAACACTAAAGAGATGTCAGTATCTCATGACAGAGTAAATATTTTCATCATTATGGTCTTGTATGATAAGTAACTGCTGAATTTTTCACCTCTGTAGGAGCCAAGAATTACGGGTGGAGACAATGAGAGGGAAACTCTCTGAACATTACAGACAGCCGCAGAAAGTAACTCTGAAAAGCACCATAAACCCTTAGGGCAATATGATCAAGCAGGTAAAATGAACCCAAGCTGAAGACTAGCAGGTAGTTGTAGGCAAGGAGTTTGAGGCCATCAAGCAAATGACAAAAATATGTCATATTTCTGTATTGATTTAAGAACTGAAAGTTCAGACTGATATTTTGAAATGTATGGGTTGAGCCAGCGCTGTGGTAAGTCATGCAAACTTTCCTGGAAACAGTTTATCATAAAACAGATTATTTTTAAACTTCCATTAACATTGCCTACTATTAGCATCACAAGCACATTAGCTACTGTAACAGCTGTAAAACTTGCATCTGCTCTGGGGAGAAGAAAGGGCCTAACTAATGGGAAGCAAAATATCTAATTGGCACTGAGGCAACAGAAGAGTTTTAAATCATGGCCTTTGCCTTCTTATACGGAGGAAAACAGAAAATCTGATCCCCAGTTAACTTGTTTTCATAGGCCACTCTCAGCCAGCATATATTAGAGGCAGGGTGGAGCTTATCTAATTTGCTCAGCAGCTTGATTGACCTGTGATGAAATCCACAACTTGGGAATCTTAACATTTATGCTTGGTGCTACTCAACCACAATCTAAGGCTGGGGCAACACAGCAATTTTTGAAAGGACTGCCAAAGCCAAGGTGGGATGAAACCGTGTTAGCTTCTCTAGCTAACAGCACCTAAGTGAGAGACATGCCTAGCATCACAGCTGGTTGCCTTTCCCTTTGCAAACTGCATGTTCAACTTGTTATTGCTGAGTCAGTCAGGTGCAAAGCTAGAGAGAGGCTGTTGATCCATAACACAGGGCTTTAACACCTCTGTCATCAATCCCCTGAGCTTGCTGTAAAATACTAAATTTTAATGAGGCTCAATTCCATGCAAGATAGGCTACAAGAAGGAAGTCCGACCTGCACAGTGCTAAAAGCATTCAGCTGACAATATGAATATGTTTTGAATAAAAATGCTTACAGGTAATCCAACCATTTGTATCATTCACATACTGGATTTGATGTCTTGTCTGCCCCAGACCTCAAAAGATAAATTGGGTTTGCACGACTTAGCAAGACAGTATGCAAGACTTAGCAAGATATTCTTGTACCTGATTCAAGTTGCAGTGTGTCTTGACTTTAAATGCATTAAAGGCACAAACACTGCGCAACCGCAGTGTGCAGTTAATAAGAATAATCTTTTTAACTATCACCTATTTATAAATCTCTCTAATAAACAAAAATCACATCTGTGAGCAGACAGATACTGTAAGATACTATTTTGTGCTACTACTACATTTTCCATTCTAAATTCTCAAAGTACTTAAAACATTAAGTCATATTAAATCCCTTTGTATAAATAACCATGAATAACTGTCACACCAGCATGGAAAAGTTATGATTTGCTGAAGATCATGCAGTAAGCACATAACAGAGATATTAGGAAGAAACCTAAATCTTCTCATTCTGGACATGTGTTATCACTAGATAATCTGTCTGCTCTGTTCTTAAAGAGTCTCAACAGTCCAGGGAGCTGGATTTCAATCTCAGAAACCAGTTCATGATAGGTATGACCCCCAAGGCAACATCAGACCATCAGCAGATGGACAAAAGGAAATGCATCTCCAGGCACAATCCTTCTTTTCAGGTAAACCCAAAAGCAGTAGCTTGTCTTTAAGAGTTCTGGGTTGTGCAAGTGCAAGTGAAGGAGGGAGCACGTCTCGCTTAACAGTTTTTCCCCTACTCTTTCTGAGGAATAGGCCTCAAGCCAGATGTAAACATGCAGTGGATGATAGCTCCCTAAAACCTGCCATTCAGCCCAATCTGACTTTAGGAAATTGTTTATAGAATAACTTCAAGTCCTAGTGTATTTAACAGGAGTTAAGGACACCCAGCACATTACAGAATTGAGTCCTTTGAAAGTATATATAAATGCAATATAAGTACACGTTAAGAGATACACATATCCTTATGTGAGGAAGCCGATGAAAGCACAAGTCTGCAACTCAGGTACTCAAGTATTTACGCATAACTACAAGAACGCAAGAAAGTCCGACAGACAATAAAATCAATAGGAAACTTCTTTTTGAAAGGCCGTAGCACACTATGGGCACTTTTTATTTGAGACATAATCACAGATGAAGAAATAACAACATAGCTTTACCTCGGTTGAAATACATTCCACACTTTCTCATTGTCAGGTCCTAACAGCAGCATGCTTTGGAGTATGCTTTGAAATTTCATGGAGCAGGGGAACAATGACAACAACGATAGCGTCTTGTCAGGAATGTGCCTTTTGCCATTCCTTTTAGGTTTGCGCAATTCTGACCAAACTATCAGCTTCTGAAATACCTCAGTTTGCACACATCCAAGGAATTATGTTAGAGTCTGGCAGCTAAAGATTAGCTAGCAAAAGATTTAATCTCCCAGCACCAAGCCGTTCATATACTCTCCACATCCACCCTACTTTCAACTAATCACTGAGAAAAAGGAAGGAGAGTTGGATCTCATTTGAATACACTGGGGTATAATGAAGCTGCATGGGAAAAGGGCTGGAACGGGAGGAGGAAGATAGATGATTGTGAATGAGGAGGAGATACGGATGAGTGAAACGGGACAGTGTGTGAACCCAGATTTCCTCTTCCTCCCTGGTCCTCAGTATTGAAGCTAAGATGACCACTGTTTTCATCAGCAGTAGGAAGGTTTATTGTTCTTCTGCAGTCTAGGTACTAGCAGAGAACATCACAATGATGTATAAAGTAAGTTCCTCACAACAATAAAGTTTCCAACTGTGTTTCATTTAACACTATATTATGACACTGTTTAACTAATAAAATCAGTGGCTATCACTCAAATGGAAATTGCAAGTCCGAGTATCAGAAATCTGAGGATCATTTTTCCTGTTATATTAATGGTGAACAATATTTCTCTAACATAAATTACCTTTAAGATTGTTCTGAACTTGCAGCGCGATGTCAAGGGCATTAAATGGTAAAACTGGTTCATTGGCAATTCGCAAAGTCACGTGTCCTGTTAGCTGGAAAAAAAAAAAAAGAGTCAAACAATCTCTCACAAATATAATAGCCAGCACTTCTTTTGCAATAGGATATACTTTTATTACATTGGATTTTCACAGAAAGCTGAATAACCCCCCATAAACACGTCTATTTGAAAAAGAGTATGACTTAAGACCTTTGTCCTCCCATTACAACATAAACAAGTATAAAGAGATTACGATTTATGACTACACACAAGAATTCTATGCAATACTTTTTCTTTGGTCCTAGGATACCGATGGGCTTTGGGCTTCCTTTGTCCAATAAAATATCTCGTCTTCCTAAAAACTGGAATGACACGTATTGTTTTTCTTAGCTCTCTTTTTTTAGTCAGCAAATTTTGAGATTTTGATTCAAAACACAAGTAAAAACATAAACATACATACATTTACACACACACACACACACTTTAATGATCAAACCCTTGGTTAGGAATTACATGGCTAAAAGCAAATTGACCTGAAAACCTACCACCTTTTGAAGAGAGACGTGACAACTTGACACAAACAGATATCCAGCTTCCAAACGGGACAAAACAAATTCTCTCAGTAACTTTCAGTGAGAACTTCCCAAACGAGCAGAAGGGAACTTAATCCACTCCATTCTACACATTAGCACATCATGAAACTCAGTGGCATGAATGCTTCTTTTCCACAGTCACAGAGATGAGACCAGGGACTGTCTCACCCGGGAATTTTTTTTTCCCACTTAAGAGAGGACAGGCTCTCCAGCTGAAGACTTAGAAATGTTGTAGAAGCCATGCACAGAAATGTGTCTTTCTGCTGTACTACACCTAACCCGTGATTAAACAGAGGATTTCAGTCTCCAGGCTGCCAAGTCCATCACTGTTCATGGGAGCTATAAAAACACTCTAACAAAAACATGCAAGAAACTTTCATTCATCTCCTTCATATCTTGATATTGCAAAAAGAAAAAAATAGCTGTAGGGCTATGCTCTAAAATGGAACGACAGCTGTAGGTAATGTTGATCGTGCTGATAAAAACGTGGACTGAATAGAATCATATTGTACAATACTTCCCAGGGTATTAGAGGGGTTAGAATAATATCTGTCCTTCAAAGCCATGAGAGAGTTGCTCTGCTGAAAGTAGCATTTTAATTCTACAATACAAAGCTTTTTTTAAGACAACACTGCTAAGTGATATTAGAAACAATAGTATAGCAATTGAAAAGCAAAACCTCCTCCTGCGAAAGCAGTTGAGGATGGGGTAATATCAAAAATACAAGTCTCCTGGAGAAAGAGTAACAGAACCCCAACAACACTTCCAAGAAAGCATTAAAGAACGGTTTTTTTGACTGATTTTTTTTTTTTTTCACTGACTGATTTGAGTATAGAGACTAGAGGAGCACACTATGTATCCAACTGCAACCCACATTTACACAGAGACCTATTGTGAAACTATTAATATTTACACTTAGAGAATAAAATATTGCAAAAGGCATGGAGGGAAAAAAATCACCATATACAGAGGGAGAAAAAAGTAGAAAGGAACGAGGATATGTTAGGATGCTATCAGGAAAACTAAAGAATTAGGAGTCCGCTTCGAGGAAAATGAAAAATGCTCTTTTCGGACATCCATGTTAAAATATTACACACTAACCTCTTATGACTTCTCTCCAAACATCCTAACAGCATAAGACACTAATGCTTGAAGGCCATTGCATTTTCTGTCAGTGCTTATACACAGAAAAGTCTGGGAGCTGGAAAGCACTAGAAAACATTGTCTTTGGAGTACCAGAAAGGTGCCATGGAAGCACAGAGATTAAAATTATTAGGACCAACAGAGCTCTGCAATAACCCGTATCCAGAACATGTATCGTATAATCCAGCCATAAGCAACTACTTCTAAATAACCAAACGACAAGCAAAATCCTTCCTTGTCCTTACACTGAACTCCTTCAGGATGCAATTGCCCAAAACATTAATAATCTGTAAATTGCTGCGGCAGAACAACTGTAGCTATGAAATAATATCTTATTAAAAAGAAGGGAGCCCAAACACAATGAAAAATAAGTATTACTATTTCACATTAAATATTTTAACTCCTCCCTGACTCCCAATTTCTGTAAAAACCTACAGTAAATCTTAATGACAGATACTTACTTATAATTGGCTTCAGTATATTTTGGGACATGAACATTTGTACACTGCTACTGATTCTTTTTAATCTGTTACTGCAGTGTTTAAGAATAGAAAAGCACAGAAAAATATTTCTTTTCTGAGGCATCAAAGAGGTATTAAAGAAGAGAACACCAGTCAGCATCTCTCCTTTTCATCATCTCCTACAGGATTAGGCTTTTTCTGTTAGCTCTTCCTCTTATTTCTATTTTCCTAAGAATTTTTATTTTCCTTTTTGGCTACAAAACACCAATATATTTTTCTTTTATCTGTTCAAATACAATTATACCCTCAAAATCTTATGACTGAAGCACTATGGAAACCTTACAGTGTCAGTGTATGTAATATTACAGATATTTGTATGCTAGTTAACAAGTAACAGGGGTGTTTATTAAATCACATACTTTGTAGGATAACCTGGAAGAAATCAATCACATAAAGGAAACCTCAGAGCATTGATTTGAACAGAGTAAGTAACAATGCTGCAGAAACATCTATCAAATCCATGTAATGCAGCAAGATAGAAAAGGCCACTGATTTCTTTATATATATATATTATATACATACATATATATATATATTTAGTATACCATTCTCCCGAGCCCAACACTGCATATACATGGGAAATAAAGACAAGCTTCTATTCCCTTTTTCCCTTTGAAAAATGGTTCAGTTCCACTACTGAATTAATAAAGGCAAGAATAATTTAAGAAAGAGTAAAGGTGACAATTTTCTCATAAACTGAAAAGTTAAAGTAACATAATTGATTTCATTCCCATACTGAACTGGTTGTAACACTAATGACAACTTCTCAAATAACATTTATGCATAATAGTACACACACAATACACACAATAACTGATGCAACATATGCACAATTATCTAATCTAAAGAAAAATGTTATAGTTCAAATGCTAACTGATTTGGAAATGCCTTTCTTTTACAATTTAAATGAAAAAAATAATGAATAACATTTCCATTGCACTTGACTTTTTGAAGGGTATTCTTCACTGAACTAAAATATTTTTAATGAACTTCCAATTATTTCAGAAATAAATATTAATATAAAACATAAAGATAGTTGTAGATGTATACAGTATATTGCAAAATAAATCAGAATATTCAAAACAGATTTAAATGAATTAACCATGCAAAGCAACATTTTTTTCAGTCTTTTACTTTACAGTTGAAACATCATTATAGGAAGGCAATAACTATTATCCCTGCTTTTATCTCTTTGATCAGATCTTTTTCAGATCTTTTTTCCAATCTGAAAAGCCAAAAAAGCCCTTCCAAAAATGCTAGTGTTAAAAGACAATTCAGTATCACATGATGCTCTTCACTAATGCAGCCAGGGATTCTTTCCTCCTCTTAAGTGTTATAACCTGCTGACTTAGGAACTATATCTTGCAGTTTTACCCACCTTATAAACCTAAATTCACTGTAAAAGTCAGCTCTCAGGGACATCATGTGGATCTGCATCACTCCCAGAAAATAACAGCTGGATTAAGTACACACATACATCTATGTAAATTAGAACTAGCTTTTACCTTGATAGCTCTTTCTCTTTATAAATAAAGAAATCTAACTAAAATGGAGTGTGTGTTTGCAGGGGTGGGGGGCTTGTTTTCACACCAAATGTTTTTCTTCTGTGAATATGTCACACCTGTTTTATCAGTGAGTTAAACAGAGTCTATGCGGCAACTTGCTTCTTCAAGTATCTGAACTGTCTACCTAACAGCTCAAAGCACTTTTATTGGCATGCAGAATTAAAAAAACCCTGAATACTAAAAATCCAGGATACGAAAACTTCAAAGACTTCACTCAGCCCACAGAGTTTTTTGCACAGATTCAGTTGTGCTTTTGTGGCATGCTGCTATTGATTACGACTTGCAGAGACACATCTTAAATGTTACACGGTTTTGACAGCTAATGCAGGGATGACAACCTCTCTTCCACTCTAGCATATGATCAGAAACTTGTAAGATGAATAAAATGAAAATATATTTATTGGGTATGATGGCATGAAAATATTATGCATGACAGATCAATCTGCCAGAAAAAACAACAGTATATGGTATGCAGGCAATTTCTTTAATAAAGAAGTTCATATGCTGTTTTGTTGTTGTTTTGTTTTGTTTTTTGTTTTTTCTCTAGTGAACTTTGGAAGTGTGTGCTAAATCTAGCCTATGTATGTGCCACGCAAATCTCAGCGGGTGTTAAATGCTGAACCTGTCCTCATAATACTTTAGGATATTTCTAGTTACATTAAGAGGGACAAATTCTAAATAGACATCTCAGAACCACTCATATGCAAAGTTACAAAGAAAACAAACTTAAAAAAAATCAGGTAAACTGCCAGGTTTATCCTTTTGTGAACATTGCTCTTCAGCAGTGCTGCACTCCAATTCTACCTCCTGAAGTGAACTAGAAACAAATACTTGAAGCCAGAATTGTGTCCTGGCAACACCTTTATATTTCAATCCACCTACTTCTGCAACATATCTTTTATTATTGCCTGCAATCTATCACTTTCAAAATTTTTATTCCATCACTGTATTTTATGTATATTAAAAACACTTTACCTTACTGCTATCTGCACACTTTCAGGGAAAATCAGCTTACACACGGCAGCTGATCTACCAAAAGCACAGCAATTAATATTAGAAAGCAAATAACGTAAGGTAGGCAGTGCAACAGATCTGTGTATATAAGATTCCCTACAACAAATCTTGTAAATGATCAGTGTGTGACACTGGGTAAATTAATTGAACTCTGGGCCTCTATTTTTTCTTTGAAAAGGGGCAGTATTTGGGGGGTCGCATTCCTCCCCACACCTTGCA